CATTGCCTTTTGTTTCATTAATCGTCATTTCAGCGCATATCTCTTTGCCTTTTTCTTGTTGATAGGTCTTGATATTTTGTATGATTGGATGCTCTGGTGCCACTGCACAAAATGAAGCCCCTAATAAAGTATGAGGATAAGTTGTAAAAACTCTTAATTTTTTGTCTAGACCAATCACATCAAATTCTATAGTGACACCTTCCGATTTCCCTATCCAGCGTTCTTGCATTATTTTTACTTTTTCCGGCCAATTTTTTAAACTCTGCAGGCACTCCAGTAAGTCATCAGCAAAATCACTGATCTTGAGGAACCACTGAGATAATTTGCGTTTTTCAACTATCGCACCGGATCTCCATCCTTTCCCATCAATAACTTGTTCATTTGCAAGTACTGTTTGATCTACCGGATCCCAATTGACCCAAGATTCTTTCCTATAGGCAATACCGTGCTTTAAGAAGTCCAGGAAAAATTTTTGCTCATGTGTGTAATACTCGGCTTCACAAGTGGAAAGTTCGCGATCCCAATTGTATGAAAGGCCTATAGATTTTAACTGCGTGCGCATGCTATCTACATTATCTCTTGTCCATATTGCTGGGTTGACATTATTATCCCTTGCAGCATTTTCAGCAGGTAATCCAAACGCATCCCAACCTATAGGGTGTAAAACATCAAATCCACTAGCCATTTTGTAGCGTGCTATTACATCGCCTATAGCATAATTACGTAAATGACCCATATGAATTTTACCAGATGGGTATGGAAACATCTCTAAAACATAACACTTCTTTTTATTACTACTTTGACTTACAGAAAAATTCCACTTACCTTGGTAAAATTCTTCAATGCTTTTAAAATCGTATTTTATAGATTTCATAACTGAACTATGCATTAAGTTGTTTTTAGTTTAATTCATATGCAACAATGGGTCAACTGCCTGACCGTTGTGTCGCATAGTAAAACATATTTGTAGGTTTTTGTCTTGTGTGCTGGATTTTCCTGCAGAGCCAATGATTTGGTCTTGTTGTACCTCATCACCAATTGTAACATGTATATTTTTTAAATAAGAATATACAGTGGTATAGTGATCTTTGTGTTCTATGATAACAAGATTACCATACCATCTAAGTCCTTTACCCACATATATCACTTTACCGGACGCAGAAGCTACTACATTACTTCCATTATGAGAAGCGATTTTTATGCCATCTTTGCATATTTCATCTGTGGTGTTAGATTTGAATTTTGCTATAATTTCACCTTCAATGGGCATCATAAATTTATAATTTGTTACTTGTGTGTTTTTATGTATCTTTACGGTCATTTTTTTACTTTTATTTTTAATAATGTTATCTTTCATTAGATGATACTCTTGCATACTTTCCAGGTCCCTTCTGCCATGAAATTCTTCACCTTTAAGCAATGCAGGTGCAGGCTTTTGTAAACCACAATTTACCAGTGCTACTGATAACATAAAAAGTAAAACTATATTCCACATAAATTTAACTGTAGGTAATTTTTATAAGTTTTATAAGCATAGGTTAAAAATCAAGTTCAGTATAATGTTGAGGAGGGGTTAATCCTGGCACTCTATCTGATAATGTTTCACGGAAGCAAGGCATGGATTTAACAATGGAGTACCACTCCTTTATAATTTTACTCTTTTCCCATGGAAAACTACCTGCATAATCTATAACAGAAATGTGTGATGCTAAAGTAATATCAGCTAAAGTAAATTTATCAGTTACAAGCCAAACATTTTTATTAATTAAGTATTCAATATATTCTATATGGTAAGTTAAATTATGTCTGGCTGCATGAAGGAATCTAGAGTCAGGATTGCGGTCAAGAATTATCCTTTCATTAATGATATACTTAGTGACTTCATTATAAAATTTATTATCGAACCAATTAATTAGAGCTCGTACTTTAGATTTTATAATAATAGATGAGCCAAATAATCGAGTAGTGTCATTATAGGTTTCTTCTAAATATTCACAAATAGCACCGCTGTCTGTTATGACAAAACGATTATTGATTAGAACTGGTACCTGTCCTACTGGGTTGATTTCCATGAATTTATCTCGCTTTTCCCATGGGTTTTCATGTATTAAATCGCAGTTTNTTACGCTGTGAATATAGCATTAAAATATCGTCCTAGTAATTTCAAAGATTTGATAGGTCAAGAAACGTTAGTGCGTATATTAGAAAATGCATTTATTCTTGATAAAATCCCACAAGCTATATTACTTTCTGGTAGTAGTGGAGTGGGTAAAACTACAACTGCAAGAATAATTGCTCTATGTTTAAACTGCTCTTCAGGGCCAACTTTTGAGCCGTGCGGGTCATGTAAAAGTTGCTTAGCGATAAAAGATTCAAGGCATCCAGATGTTATTGAAATTGATGCAGCAAGCCATACTAGTATTGATGATATCAAGGTAATTTTAGGAGATATTTGTTATTCGCCTATAAGTTCTAAATTTAAAATTTATATCATAGATGAAGTGCACATGTTGTCCAATAGTGCATTTAACGCTCTGCTAAAAACACTGGAAGAGCCTCCATCAAGTGTAAAATTTATTTTGGCAACTACTGAGGTAAGAAAAATACCAATAACTATTATTGCGCGTTGTCAAAGATTTGATTTGCATAATATACCTACAGTTAAAATAGTGAAGCGATTAATAGATGTTGCACAACAAGAAAACTATTCTGTTGAAAAAGGGGCGCTAGAGCTGATAGCGTACCACTCTGGAAATTCAATGCGTAATGCTTTGTTTTTGTTGAATCAAGGTGTACTGTATGGTAAAGATGGCGTAATATCAACCTCAAATATTATGAATATTCTTGGTTTAGTGGATCAAGGTATTATATTTGACTTATTGCAGGCGATTTTAGATGGCGATTTACAAAAGGCTTTAACATTGTTCGATAAGACGGCAACTTCTCTTAGTGTTTTTGAAAACTTACTACAAAAAATTCAGTTGATATGTCGGTTTTTAATTACAAAAGAAATAGATGGTGTAATTGCAGAATATGAAGCTAGTAGAATAAAGGAGTTGAGTGTAAAAAAATCGATAGTATTTTTTTCTAGGTTATGGAAGGCTTTATTGAAAGGTATTCAAGATGTAAAAGCTTCAACATGCAGTGATGTGGCTGCTGAAATGATGCTGATAGGTCTTTGTTATCTTTCTGACTTACCTTCTCCAGAGCAGGTAGTCAAGAAAGTGCTTTCTAAAAATGTACAACAAGATAATAATAAACAT